ATTTTGTGCATTGGCCCTTTAATAGGGTGCCTGTGTCTTAAGCAGAGTTGCATCTCTCCCTGGAGCACAGAAACCATGCTGCTTTTCAGAGCCGGATGTTATGTGGGCACCTCTTCCCGGTTCTGGTGCTCTGGGCTTGGGAGACAAGCTTGGGGTTTAGGTCCACAGTTCTCAGGGGAAATCCCCTACAGCTGAGATACCCCTCCAGAACCTCAGCCATCGACTGTGAGAGTGGAGTCAGCCCTTCTTGCATCTGACCTTCCTACCAGGCTTAATGTGGCTTCTTCTGTAAATCCTTGGTTATAGGACCCCTCTTCAGCTAGTCTTCAGTTGTTTATTCAGGATGATTGTTCTTTAATTTAGTGGTAATTCCAGTGTGGTCCTGGGATGAGGTGAGTGTAGCTTCCAACTACTCCATCATCATCTTGAAATCCTTTATAATCAATTTCTTTTAAAATAACTCAAATGAATTTTTTCCCATTCATGATATGGAGTGTTTCAGAACAGTACTTCAAATTCACAATTTTTGGTTTAGAATAAACTCATATAATTAGAAAATGCATAAAAGTATTATTAACACTGAAAAAGTCTTATATTTATAAATTTTCAACTTGTTTAAACCTAAAACATAAAGCTGATTAAAAGTTTGTAATAAAGAAATGTCAAAAACTTTCCAAATGGATATCAAATTTTTTGCATGAAAACTTCCCAAAAGAATATTTATTTTTAAGAAATTACCCCTTTCACATATCCCCCTCTAAAATATCATTTTCATAAGATCACCACACCCTACTCAATGCAGTTCTAGGGTAGCCCTCAGAGGATACTGCACACTCTCAGCAGTAAAACAGATAGACTTGAGGGCAAATTAGCAATTAGGTCATGAAAAACAGGCAGCATAAAATAGCTACTGTTAATCTGCATGAGATGCATTTACTCAATTAAGCAGATGGAAGTGTTATTATGAACTCAGTATTCCAATGATGCTCTTTAAAATGAAGAAGGATAGGGGCAAATGAAATGCACATTGGGGGATTTGGGGCCTTTATGTAATAATTCTAAAGTATACAATGCAGAACACTGTAATGAAGTTAACAAAACTAATTAAAAGATCCTTTGCATGTAATCATTAGAGACTACATTAAAAAATACATGACAGTTTCTGACATTATTAACAATAATGTGACTGTATTTTAACATTCTTAATGTTGATACCATCACCTTTTCTAAATATACCAATATCAAAAACATGTGACAGAAGTCTTATTACTCAGCGCCTAGCATGAGTATTGTTTTTAATATGCTTTCCAGTATTTAGTACTTCCATTCTGAATTTCAGAAATGATAAACTAGTGATGAATTTTCAAACTTTTTAGAAAACTATTATATATTTTTACTGGTACACAGGTGTGTTCAGATTTTAAAATTTGTGTTTTACATAATTTTTATTATTAAAAAATAAAAAAAATAAGAGACAGTTATTAAATCTGAGAATTGCTACCAAACTCTTGTAATAAAAATATTTGAATAAATTTGGAAAAGTGGTCACAAAATTCAAAAGGAAGTTTCTGTATTATGATAAATACTTTATGTTTAAGTCCTTTTTTCAAAGTTATTTTAGTGTGCATACTTAATCCACAATTATGAGAGAATTCACATATGACAAAATAAGTGGCTTGTTACAAAAACTACATAAAAATAAGCTGTGTGTTATAAAATAAGTAAGTTCTGGGGATATAATGAATAGCATGATGACTACTGTTAATAAATACTGTATTATATATTTTAAAGTTGCTAAGAGAATAAGTTTTAAAGGTTCTCATCACAAGAAAAAGCATTTGTAACTATGAGTTACAATATGGTGGATATTAACTACTTATTGTAGTGATCACTTTGCAATATATATATATACACACACACATATATATAAAATCGTTATGTGATACACATAAAACTAATGTTATATGCCAATTATATCTCAAAGGATTAGTTTAATATTTTTCTCTTTCCTTGTAGAAAATGTGATTTCCTCCCTCCTTTTGACTATTCTTAAAAGGCTTAGAAAATTTTTAAGAAACAATTTTACTTAATAACAATTATATAAAAATTACATTTAATTTCATTTATTCATTGATTTATTCAATTTGATTGAAACTATTTCAACAACTGTTATAATATCAGCTTCTATTTCAATCTTAGGTTTAACATGATAGTAATAATCGTTTGTCCACCCTTACTCCCCAACACACACATCAGTCAATCTTAATACGTAATCCTCTATCATCCTAAACTTTTTCCTCTTAACAGAAGTCTGCTTTAAACAATTATACAGTTGATTTGAATATTATTTTGTACTTGTAACTGTTAAACTTTTCAATTAAATCACATGCTCTTGAAGCTGTGTTCTGTGTAGAATAGATGCTCACATGACACTTATTAGTATTCATAGCATTACATTAATTCATATATTCATTCATTCATCCATTTGCTAAACATTCACTATGTGCCAGGACATTATATTTAATTCTGCAGACACAAAGATTTAAAAAAAGCCAGTCCTTGTGCTAAAGATTCCCAGACATCTGAAGGATTCT